CTTGCAACAAGATGTAAATTTTTAGACCGAAATTCCGAACGTTTTTCGGCAATCGCTCGCTTCAATTTRATGAGTTCTTATTGGTGAGTTTTTCATTAATGATCTCTCTCGATAGAGCATGTCTTTCTGATTGCACCAAGTACAAAGTATTCTTATGACAATATGGATGTTCCGCTTTGACGAAAAGGATGTATTTTTGTAACGTTTAACCAGCATTTCCCATAAAAAAAATAAAAAAAAAACCGTCTTTCAACGTCGCAACGTAAAATAATTTTCATCGAATAATGTCATTAGCTCCAGACTTTTTGGCCGCCCAGCACGTTCTTCATCTTCCAAGCCAAAATCACTGAGCTAGGGCAAGTTCACCATAAACACCACCATAATCCTGAGGTTTACGTCATAAAATACAATCAAGAAGAGCTGCCATCAAAAACACTTTTGCCAAACCGAATGCTGGCGGCTCCTTTTCTGCAAACGACGGAGTTATTGGTTGAAAAAAGTCGTTGGAGAAGAGTGAACCCTTCTTCAGAGAAGTGACTATAGGTATACTAGCTTTGAACTCAGTAACAGTACCTTCAGGGTTGGTCAAAGAATGCCCAAGCTCGCTATGAATAGCATTGAGTGCCTTGGTGATAAGACTGATATGAGTGCTACGCTACAGCGGAGTCGTAAAAAATTGTAAAGCTGATGAGCTAGCAAGGAAAGGAAAGAAAGAACCACTATCGAAAGCATAGTAGTGAGTCGTTGCTCTCATATCCTCYTGTGTTCTACTACTAGATAGCTGGGCTTCGCGGAGGCTTGACTAGCGTTGTTCCATCATCGCTACATGCGCTATTGCAAAAGCTTTTCGGCCCAACTTCGATCGCAGGAGATCTGGTGATCTCTTTGCTCTCAGTAARGCTAGCTTCTCCCTGGTTGTAGGGCATTGTCCTATTGATGTCCACGCTCTAAGACTGGAAGTCTTACCAGACGCTATCTGTTGAAGCTATATGAAAGAAGATTAGGTGGGAAAAACTCAATATTTCCTTCTTTACGGTCTCGSGTTTGGGAGGTTCAGACATCCCACCRAGTTGGCGRAAATGGAAATTAACGGCATACTAAGTTTTTGCTAATTTATAATTTCGAACAYAGGAGTTCTTCTTTGCTATGGCTTCGCAAAGGACAAAATATAGCAATCCACGTGCGATCGCTATAGATCAAGTTACACCATTTCTTGGCAAATCGTGTGAATATTCTTAGAAGTCCATAGAYTCAAATATTTTGCAAGCAACGACAAAATAATAATTGCAATTTTTTTCCATTTTTGCATATTATAATTTTCGAAAAAGAACAGTAAGTCTGAGTATTTAATTAAATTATTGTGCCATAATATTAACACCGACACATCAAAATTCCCCAAGATAATYAAACAGCGACAAAACAACATTACGCAAATACATAACCTCTTCTGTCAAGTCATTCCTACCTTTACTTATCCACAGGTTAATTTGTTTATAAGAATGTGGCCGAAAGTCAGTGCGTCGGGAATTCAAACTCGTACCTTTAGTTTGGCGYCACCAACAAGCGCCACGTCCAAATTTTGTTTTATTCACTTAAAATGCAAAACTTTAGCCTTCGCAGTCATTAAATAAAATGCCGACCGAGCTCCAAGGGAACAGTTGACAGATAACTGGCATAGTTGTAGAGGGAGGGCAAAGTGTCAACTCGATTAAACTCATACACTCACACACATTTACTTGTAGTGTGCTGACCTATTTAACCTTTATGCTTTCTAAACATATTAAATAAACATTAAAACTGTTAATTGGCTAGCGAAAGTGGTAGAAGCTAATCAGATTGTCACGTAGCGGCATTCGTTGCAATTTTCTGCGAAACTTTTCAAAAGTTGAAAGTTGTGAGCCGCACTAAGGCACATATSCCTTTGGTTGTATATTTACAAGTGATTGTAGTAAATTAGATTCTGAGAAAACTGCGAGGGATAATACAAGTAAAAATTGCTATTAAAAGTAGCTGTAATAATGTTTATCGTTTCGGTACAACTTGACCCATTGTGACCTAATTTTTTAAATGATGAGCCTACGAGAGTCATTTGTTGAATTTAGGTGCAATGGATTCTGGTATTGAATTAAATTCTATACTAAAACATTCGACAATAATGATTTTTTGATCGGCCAGTTTGTGTGACAGCTATATACTATATTGATCGGATCTGAACAAATTAATTTCGGGATTATACCATTGCTTAGGATTCAATTTTGAGCATCAGGTCCGATGTCGGCGGTTCCGAAAAATGAAACAAACAAAACCAACAACTAGTTTTGACATAGGGGCGCAACTTGTGTTGTTTACAGTAACTAAAAATATTCATCTCGGGCAAAAATGGAATCAAATACCTATGCTTTTTGCGTGATTCTGTTTTTACAACTCATCAGCTCATCAGCATGTGTRGTGCACTAAGATCCACTCCAAACATGAAACTTAACGCCTTCTTATMCATAGTACCATAGGCATCGTCGGAAGGTGTATGGCCGCGAAAGTGTTTGAGAGCCAGATCAGAGAATTTGGGTTCATAAAAGATACTAGGAAATTCACACTATTTAACTTAATATCGGATCCCTTAAATTATGGATTCGTCAAATCGATCTCTGGCGGCTCCTTCTCTRCCTATATAACGACGGGGGAACTATGATTAGGAACAAGCCGTTGCAGGAGAAGGACAGCGAGCTTCTTTAAGGAAGGG